ACGAGCTTAAGCAGGAATGTGAGAGAAGTATACCTTTGAGGGCTTGGCCTGACGAGGGGAAAGATGCATCGCTCGAGCTGGAGGAGAAGAAGGCTCGGGCTGGGAAGTTGCCTTTGCCTTAGTATCGTGTTTCAAACAAAACAACAACATAGAATTAGTTAAAGTGCTGAGAGAGGTAAATTTCAAAAGTAATTTAGTACTTAGGATTGAAGGCTCTACCTTCAATTCCTTGAGTAGAGGCAAACTTTTTAGAGGCTGGAGGCCCTGATTACAAAAGGAAGAAGTATGTTAGTTCAAAGACTCAAAAAGATCAAATGTTGAAAAGAAGAAGACTAAGGCTAAAAACACTTACTGGAGGATTTTTGCTTCTTCTTGCCCGTTTTAGTTGGATGGGCATAAGAGGGCTTTAAAGATTGAGAAGTTTGTGACTTGGTTATCTTCTTGGTGGGAGTTGCCTTTAGGCCAGGCAAAACAAGTCGAGGTTGAGGCTTCTCCTCGGGCTCAGACTCTAAAGTCTCCACCACAGTCGCCCTTGCCTGCATCTTTGATCGCGTCTCTACTTTAGGCCCAGCCTTGGCCTTTGAGTCACTAAAGAGCTTATAGATATCTCCAGCAGCTTGGCTGGACCCTGCCTCTTACCTTGCTGCCTCAACAACAACCTCTTGGAGGACCAGAGCATCTACAACTTTTTCTTTTGGCTCGACATCCACTTTTTCAGTGTTACCTTGAGCTACAAATCAGGAAAAAAATTAGACCACCATAGATGATAAAAGCATCAAAGAAAGAGACAGAGAAAGGGCAATCAGTTATACCTATAAGACAACTGGTTATTCTGGTTGATGACCTTATTCCAGCTCTCGAACTCCTCCTTTTTGGGTAGAGAGTTGAAGAAGACTTGCCCGAAGAGTCGATGATTGGCCTCTCTGATGTCTCCCTCATACTTCTTTGACCACTTAGCCTCCCACTAAATGGCAAAACAAGGGGTACACTCAAAGTTCAATGCCAATGGCTTGTGGGCGCTTTTGCTCATTACTTTCAAACTGTGCTGAGCTGCCTGAAATTTCACTTCTGAATGAGTGCGTAGGCAGAAAGAATTTCCACAGTGCATAGAGTTGAAGTAGGGCACTGGGATAACCTGCCTAAATCCCAGCTACCAATCATGGAAATTGGGGTGGTAGACTTCCAGCCCGCGCTCATAACTAGTTTGGTCACTGCGCACTCCCCACGCCAAATCTCTCTGCTGGATGCAACTTATAAACTTTTCCTTGTAGAGATTGCTGGTATCCTCTCCAAAAGTATCTTGGAATATCTGATTTAAGAACCATGGATACCTCTTGAGCACAAATGCCCTCCACTCTAAGTCTGCCCAAGTTCGACAGACTCTGAAGAAATATAGGCAGGCTAGAGTTGAATGGTTTGTAAGGGAAACTTTTGCCAAGATGCGAACTGGAGCTACTCCTTCAGGGAACTCCAAGTTTGGTGCCTGAAACTCAGGGAATTACCACTGAACCCATAGCTGGACCATCCAAGTTGGCTCGCTGAGGATGGTCTCCAAGGGCTTGCCTATGGTTATATCATAGAGGAGATGATAGAGGTGTGCGAGGAAGAAGGGCATTGTGGCGACATCATCAAATAAGTGCAGTGCCTCCACCAAGGGAATCCACTCCAATTTTACTCATTTGGACTTGTTTGGGAACACATGTTTGTTCAATCAGTACAAGAGGAAATACATGTGCTTATGAGCCCTATCTGCAGTGGAGGAGGGTGAGCAGAAAGTCTTCTTTGCAAATAGGATAAAGCTTGCAAAGGACTTTCCATAACTTTTGAAAGTTAAGGAGTTGTATTCCAGTCGAGTAATAGACTCAGATGCGTCTGAGCTTTCAGTAATTGGGCAAGAGGGTGAATACCAATCGTGGGTGATGTCCACACACTTGCCTGAGGGCCTTAGCCCGAAGACCTGAGCCATGTCGAGGACTGTAGGAGACATGGGATCCATTCTGAAATCAAATCTATTGGTCCCATTGTAGATCCCATTAGCCATCCATTTCTGTTTCCAGATGGGCTCGAGCTCGTCCACCTATTGCAACCAAGCTTCATCCCTTATCAGTGGAAAACCTCTTCTAAAATTGAACCACTTGGAGGCTGAGATGCCAGCCTCAGCCGAATAAGGGATAAGGGTAAACCAATTAGCAACAGGTATGTTGCTCTCCATTGCAATCAGGACTCGAGCAGTCCAGGCCGACCCTAGGGAGTGTACTCCCTATTCTTCGAAGAAATTTGACGAATTAAGGCCTGCCTGAGGGCCATAAAGGCTGTTGAATTGATGGTGCAGGTTGACGATTTCCTCAGTAGACTCACATGCAGGACGAGTTTTTGGTGCCATGTTTAGTTTTTGGGAACAAAGTGAAGAAAATCAAAGGCAGAAAGCAAGAAAGAACTGCAAAAGCAAAAGGATTCTAGAAATTCTAGAAACTCAGAGAATAAAGATTGCTGGAAATGTTGGCCGAGAAATTTAAATAGAGGTTATATAACGGGTAGTTAGTTAACGTTGAAGATCGAGGTTTAGTGCAAAGGTTTATTCTAAAATGGCTGTTTAAATGGTGCAAGTCTCGAGTTAAAGCATGCGGCTAGTGTTTAATCATTAATGTCTCGATTAATAGACTTAACAATGATTAAAGGGGGCACTATTTAAGTTAGTATTTAACATTGGGCTTTATGATAAGGAGGCCCAAGGATGCAAAAGTAAATGGAGAAATACCCAAAGCTCAGTCGAAAGGCTTGAAGCAAATTGAAGCCATTTCAGCCAAGGTATAGGCCATGTGCCTATAATTGAAGTGATGGCTGATAGAAACCAACTCACCACCAGCCAAAAACACCTTTTCGAGGCCATGACAAGTAATTAAGTGATGACTCACTGCCCTACGAGAGCCATTGGCCAAAAACAAAGTTAAGACAATCGGGCCAAATAGCCTATAAAAGGAGAAAGAGACACCAGAGACAAGAACACTCAAACAACCAATCAAAAGACATACAAACTCTGCTCTCAAGCTAGTTCGTACTCAAAAAGCTGAAACTTATCTAGATTCATTCCTTTTAGCTATAGTTCCCTTAGAAAAGCTATCTTTTGTCTAGTGTAAAAGCTCTGCTACCTTCCTTTAGTGTTGTAGTATCAATTCTGTAGTGTAAAACATGTTTACCTTCCATCCCTTTCAACATACAACCTCTGTAAACTCAAAGAGAAGTGGTTACAAGAAGTTCAACCTTACCTGACAAGGTGAAATCTTGCCCGAGTTTCTTTGTTCATACTTTTATTTAGTAGATCTATCGTTTAACTTACTTTCCAACATGTATTCAAGATGTTTCCACTGTTCTCTACTTAAGAGTCCCATTTACATTTGAATCTAGTTAACTTAATAAACCTGTTTTCATTAAGAACAAATTGTGCTTGAGGAAATGGTTAAAAGGGCCCTGAACTCCCTTCATTGTGGACATACAAGATTATGAATTAAAAGTCCTTGTTCACAATGCAAGAAAAAGAACTTAATGCAGACTTAACCCATCTGTGACAATCCTTTGATAACAAGAAGTTTAAGTAACTTGGGGTGCAAGTAATCAACTTAAACCACACCTATTCAACATCTGTTATACTGGGATAACATTAGCACACCTAAATCCTTGTTAGTTTTGATTGCGAGCATCAAGGCCTACACCAAAGGCCCTACAAAGGCACCTTTCAAACTAACTAACAATTAACTTATCTTGCAGCACACCAAGCGGCAAGAGCTCGCCCGACAACCAACTAAGTGCCATACCCCTGAGGAGCTGTGCAAGGGAAATCTTGCCCAAACAAGATCGTTCTACATTTTACAAGTATCCTAAACAAACACTAACTTGAGTGCCAGAGTGTTTTATTGTAGGTCCCCCTCCTCCCTCATTGATAGTGAGCAAAGATGGTGTCTAAAGCTTCTCAATGTGTTCAAGATTGCTTGTTGGTGGAGAATTGAAGTATCTAAAATTTTTCGCTCCAACAGTTGATGCCATCTGTGGGAATTCGTACAAAAAGCCGTATTTGAGAAGTCATGGTTTCACCCACACCACAATGGGGGCACGGGCCAAAAACCTAGATAAGTTTTTCTATTCTTCTATGTGCCCAAATTAAAACCCTCAATTGCCTCTATCCCTTGTTCTCAGTTAGCTGGATGAAGGAAAGCACAATCACTACACGACGTCGTACCCAAGAGCAACAATAAAACATGGGAATACTTCAGAGGGTAAAACATACGAAAATTTTCAGAGGCGAAGACGACTCTTAACCGGCATCGCCGTTGCCGTCATTCTTTTCCTCGCCTTCGCAATCGGGTCCCCCGAAGCCGATACAGCTCGTCTACTCGACAAGAATGGGAAGTTCCGAAGGGATCAAGAGGTTGTCTCCATGCCACAGCTCATAACCCATTGGTATCGTCAGTTGGGGCCATGCCTGCCAGGGCATAAGCTTTATTCTTAACCAGCTTTTCAGAACTTCAGAATGAGTGGCGGATTTCAAGTAGCATTTACACATCATCCATGTACAAAAGGGCTATGGTGTTGGAATGCACCATTTAAGAGAACTGCACTGGATGAGACAGAATACAATCTATTACCATTGGATAATGACATTTTTGATCGGACGGAAACGTATGGCACACATATATTTTCCTTAGTGGTTCTCCTATCTATCATGCTTATTTACAACCATATGGGTGGAATAGATGAAGGTTCACTTGATCGTATCTGTCTTGTCACTCAAATAACCAAGCATGTACGTGTTAAAGCTTATGGAGGAACCAAAGCTTCTGAAATTGGGCAGTTCTCCCAAATCTTTGGGTGTATTTTGAGGGACTCCTATCTAAATTTATCAGAAGATTGTCGAAGGTTAGCGCCACGTGAATATCAGGGGCTTGCTTTGAAGCCAGTTGAAGACAAAAAAAAAAAAAAAAAAAAAGAGGAAAAAAGCCCAAAAGTGAGGGGAACAAAGGAAAGAACACTGCATTCAATCCTATCTAGAGAAAGACGATTGAAAGAAGTGACAATAAATTCCTACAAAGCGAAACAGGAAAACTAACCAAATACATATGGGAGATCCATTGTGGAGTGGGGGCACGGAAGTACCTCCTAGCAGATTGTGTTACCAAAGCCGGGGATAATATGAATCATGCTCATCGCTCACTTGAAATGCATGCTGCTGATTACTACGATCAAAGATAATGAATCGTGTTTCAATTTATGAGAATATGGAGAGAAAGTGGAAATGCTTATATTACACATCGTTTGGTTGCATATTGAAAAGAAATTATTCGGCAAGCACTCATAGCTTGGAGCACGCTATTACTACATAAATTCATGATTGAAGATCATAAGACTGTCAATTGAAGACCTAGAACGAATTAGGGCCGAAGGCCCAAGACTGTGGGAACGTACAAAAAGTCGCTTTGAGAAGACATGAATGTTGTCCAAGCAACAATGGGGGCACAAATTTACACACCAAACATAGAGAAGAATTTCTTTCCTCTAGCTATTTTACAATTTTCCATTAAAATACGAATTCTATCATTACATATTTTCGTCATAAAATGTTAAAGAAATTTGCATATCCATACTCCATCGCTTTACAATTTTACAAAGAAAAATCTTTCACCGGGTTTAAATTCTGCATGAAGAATAATCTTATCTGAGTTCATACTAGAATGTGTGTATAGTCCATGTTACGTTTTAGAAAGAACTTCTAAACTCTTTCTATTTCTTGAGTTGGTCAGGAAATAAATTACATGTCAGTCACTCTTGAATCAGATTCTTTGGAACTCATCAAAGGATTGAATATCTGGCTGACGTTGACTCGACTATATTTCCATACTTGGATGTTATAAGATCTAAATCTTTTCAGGTGCTTTTATTCGGAAGTGAGTTTCACGATAGGTGAATCGTGTGGAGTACGCACACGGATAGTTGGGTTTGGAGACCCTATCATCGAACCATAATTGGCGATGAGACTTTGCATTCAAATGGGATAGATATACAATGGTCAAACTACATTGGGTGAAGTTGCAGCCTAGGACCATCCCGAATCGTCCCTTTATCCTGCTATAAGGAAACAAACAGAGGAAGAAACACCATTGCAGAAAGAGAACGCTGAGCAGCATGTGGGGACACATGACAAGCTTTCTACAAGGAAAGTTTGCATGGTGGGACAAGCCACGATATCCTTAGGATGTTGGATTGATCGAGGTAATGTTTGCTCGTGATTTATATTTGAGAAATGGTTTGGTCATTGACAAAAATGACTAAAAGAAGGAAGATAATGCACAATGCAGAGGTATGAAAACTGATGTTAGAGTACGAGTACAAGTAATGCTATTATATATTGTGAAGATGATGATGATCGGCATGCCACCTCTAATCCCCAATATCATGACTGAAACAAGGCTACATTGCTTTGATGATTTCCCATGCGCTTGAACGTTGTTGCTGGCAGAATTCAGGATGCGAATGTTTAAGGCACGACAACTATGGGTACCGTACCAACCCGCATATATGCTACGGTCCATCTTTATAATGCTTGCTTATGAATTGCATGATTTATTATGAACTGATGTTTGTGAATTTGAGACCAAAAAAGTGAAAACATAAAATTAAGCCAAGGTTTATGAATTAAGATCGAAAATCTAGGATGGAATGGGTTAAGACCAAATCAAGAATGAAAACACAAAATCAAATGGGATGACACCGAATTAAGATCGAAAACCCAAGATCGAATGAGTTACGACTGAATTAAGATCGAAACCCAAGATTGAATGGGATAAAACTGAATTAAGATTGAAAACCCAAGATCGAATGGGTTAAGACTGAATTAAGATTGAGAACCCAAGATCAAATGGGTTAAGATTGAATTTAAATCGAAACCCAATATCGAATGGGATAAGACCGAATTAAGATCAAAAACCCAAGATCGAATGGGTTAAGACCGAATTAAGATCCAAAAATCAAGATCGAATAGGTTAAGACTGAATTAACATCGAGAGTAAGACCGAATTTAAATCGAAACCAAAGATCGAATGGGTTAAGACCGAATTAAGATCGAGAACCCAAGATCAAATGGATTAAGACCGAATTTAAATCGAAACCCAATATCAAATGGGGTCAAAGGGTTTGAGATAGAACATAAATATAGGTTACAAAAGTCAAACATCAAAAGGGTTCAAGTCCCTAGACTGAATTATGGCCAAAGCCCAAGACTGAGGGCGTAGACCCTAGTTTGAATTATGGTCGAAGTTTCAATTATAGTCTGATCATAGCCAAAGGCTAAACTATGATTGTAGTGAAGGCTAAACTCATATTTGAAGATCATCCAAATGTTTGTTGGTATCATACCAATGACATCACATGAATTTTTACAAACTAAGATGATATGAGTTTGCAGAGCAAAAAAAGGGCATTTATGGGTGCAAAAATTAAGGTTCAAGCAATGAGTCACTTCCCATTAATCCTAAATTTGGGGGAGTGGTGTTAGAATGAAGGAGCATGATTGAACACTTCATCGAATGTGTAACATGGAGAAATACAAGGAGAGTGGAACTTGGAGTCTAAGCATTTTATGCCTATAAAAAGGCATAATCACACAAGAACGGGGGGAAAGAGAGAGGTATGAGATCATTCTATATTTACTATTATTTTGAACAAACACTAACTTGAGCGTCAGAGTGTTTTATTGCAGGTTCCCCTCATCCCTGATTGATGGTGAGCAAAGATGGTGTCTAAAGCTTCTAAATGTGTTCAAGATTACTTGTGGATGGAGAATTGAAGTACCTGAAATTTTCCGCTACAATGGGAGAACATAAGAGAAACAAAACTGGGAAACTTGAAAATGAGTTCCATAAAAGAATTTCCAAACAAACTAACAGATAGACCAAAATCAATCCTCTCGAATACACCTGTCAATATTAAGGATTTTTTAGCAATGCAAAATAATGCTGCATTGAGGAAATCAAAACCATAACCCATCTTCAAATGTTAAAGCCTAGTTCCTATCCCTACTTTTTATACATTCATACATAAGCCCTTTCGAGCAAGTTTTCTTGATTAACAACCCATAAGCCTTTTTGAGCCTAGTTAGTATTAAGGATTTTTGTTGTATCTTAGGATAGCCGAAACTGAGGATAAGATAAGAGAAAATCGGTTAAGGTGGTTTGGACATACAGACGCTCTAGTTAGAAGATGTGATAACGAGACAGATGATTAGGGGCAAAGGGGTAGAGGAAGATTTAAGAAAACTTGGAAAGAGACCCTAAAAAAAATACTTGGAGTACTTGGATCTAACAAGGCTTGACACAAAACCGAGTGCAGTGATGTTCTATAGACCACAAATAAACCCTATGCATTTCTCAAGTAAAACGAGACGTCCCCCCAATACTAAAAACATGAATAACCCTACCCTAGAAGGCTAGAACCCAGAAAATCAGGAACTGATCCCCACAATAATATACAGATTCTAGCAGACAAAGGGATGAACACACAAAAACATAGATAACATTGACGAGTTTAGGTCAATTGCAACAGAAAACAAGAAATTAGTAAGCTCGAATTTGAAGTAAAATCGAATTCTAACACGAATAAAAGAAATCATAAACCGACATTATACTCAACAACATCCAACTTATAATGTAAACTTGAGCATAAGTAGAACATTCCACCCTAACTGAAACAGCAAATAAGGGGATTATAAAGCCTAACCAGTAATCTAGCGATTGCGCTCGGCAGGCAACGGCCGATTAAATCCACCGCGGCGGTTCATATACTGTCTTGGCTGCCGCTTCGTGACGGCCCTAACGCCACTTATATCGGCGCCCAGCACGGGCTTCCCTTTTGTCGAGTCGAACCCAGTCGGAATCCCCAATTTCTTCATCATCTCAATCTCATCCTCGTCCATACCCTCACCACCATCACCATCGCTGCTCGGCTTCTGCTGAGTTTTCTGCTCCTTCGTGATGCCCTCAACCAAGTCCAAAACCGCAGCCTTCTGCCTCTCCCTCTCGTCCTCCACGGTCGACTCGCGGCGCTGCCGCTTGCGTGGCTCCGTCGAGGGGCTGCGGTCGTGGTGCTGGCGCCGCCGGTGGGACCTGTCGTCTGGAGTCCGAGAACGGGAGATGGAGCGCGTGCGGGAGCGGGTGTGGCGTGGTCTGGTGCGCTCGGGTGTATGCGAGCTCTTGATGCGGACGCGGTCGCGGTCTCGGCGTCTTTCTCTGTCCCGGTCTCTGTCTCGTTCTCGGTCCCCCATAGTCTGCGTGAGAGTCACTAGTAACTCGGAGGGTTCAAGATTTTAGAAGAAGAGGGTGCTTATCAAGGAAGCCATGGCCCTGCAAGCCGGGAATTTACTTGAACACGAATTTGGTAATTGCGAGCGTATTATTATTAGTTATCGTTGTCTAGTAGACCGAAGTTGAGTGACAGAGATTACGGTATTTAATTCTAGACAAACGATTGTGGTATTGAGTTAGAAGTAGCTCAACTTATGGACTTTTAGCCAAAAGATTGTGGTATTGAGTTAACGTTTAGAGACAGAGATTGCAGCAGTAATTAACTTGTAGCCAGAAGATTATGGTTTTTCTTTACCGTTTAAGGACCACACTTGTGGAGAGAATTCCATCACAATATGTAAATGGTGAAGAGAGAAAGAGATTGCTTGAGTGCGTTGTATTTAAATAATAATAACAATTGAGAAACTTATATTAAAATAGAGAATACTTGTAAAAACAACAAAACAATAATAAATTGAAGAGTGCTTTGAGTTTAATTGGAAGAAATGAAAGAGCTTGTGATGAAATGAAATGAAAGAGTTTTGAAATGAAAAGAGCCTTTGAACTGAGAAGGGTGTAATTGTTGTCACACCTTAAAAATGGGCACATAACAGTACCACGCTTTATTAGTAATGCAATATTATAGTGTTAAAATACAACACTATAGCACTACATTCCCAACAGAACGTAAGGCTATAGAAGAGTAATAAAATAATTTATTTTTAAGTAGAACAGAAGCGAAAATCATTTTGGTAAACAAAAAAATAAGAGGCTTTGACCTTGGAAGGGTGTAATTGTAGTGAGATGTGTTTGATTGTTTTTTGGTTTAATTCTATGGTTCATAAACTCTTATATTAGTCGCTTTGATCCTTTAATTTAGTCAAGTATTTCACTAACTTCATTTATTTTCGCTAATTTAGAATTAAAACAATTGAAAGAGTTGGAAACAAAATGAAAGAGAACAAAATAATAACTAAAATTTAAAAAAAAAATGAAAATGGACCATAAAAAATAGTTAGAGAAATAAAATGAAAGATAACAAAATAATAACTAAAATTAACAACAAAATTGAAAATGGACCATAAAAAATAGTTAGACTTTAGAGCAACTCCAGCGTTGGAGCCCTCCCCCCAGGCAATGCACTATTCAATCCACCTAATGAACAGTAACTGCCCTTAATGAACAGTAAATAGCCCTGGCAATAGAATTTGTATCTCCACCGTTACACTTCAATAGGCCTGGCAATAGGCAATATAATATTAGTATTTTTTTTATTTATAAAATAATACAAAATAATTTTAATTGTAATATCGGATAAGATTTTTAATCGTTCTCGTTGCACCACGTGTCATTATCCGAAGTATTATTAAATAATACAAAATAATTTTATTTGTAATTTCGGATAAGATTTTTAATCGTTGTCGTTACGCCACTTGTCATAAAATTCGAAAAGACAATTATTGGAGATGGATTTCCGATAAATTTTTTAATCGTACTCGTTATGCCACGTGTGTGACAGCCCGTCCCGGGAAATTCTAAAAACGTAACGTGAAAAGACGATTTTGCCCTAGCGTGATTTTTTTCATTGCGTAGTTGTTCTTTTTGGCTTGGTGTGGCTAGTTTGGCACCACACACTCACCCTCACTATTTTCTCCCTTTCCCTGTGATTGTCCCGAGCCCCATTCCTTCCAATTTCCTTTGGAACGTACGGACACACCCACAAACCCATTCAACTTCCACATATCGAAGAAACCAAGCACATATTCTTGCTCGTGAGGCTTGTGGGAGTCCAACCATACCTTTTTCAGGTGAGAATACCTTCGTTTTCACGTCGAACCCACGATGCCCGATTTTGGTACTGTTCATGCACACATGATTTCTCACGTTTTAGGGAATTTCAAGCTTGTAGGTAGCTTGGTGAGGTCCCTAGGAGGCTCGGGGTGGTTCGTTTGAAGGTTTTGGACGTCGGGATCACTAGTTTCGAAGTTGGCCGGAGTTGGGTTGATTTTTCAGGTGAGATTTTGTGGATTTTAGCCCTTGAAAGTAGTATGATTGTGTTCCTCTAGTTCTAAGCTTCATTTTGATACCAATTTTGTGAAATTTGGATGAAAAACGAAGAAGATATCAAAGTTTGAAAAATTCCCGATTTTCCGACGCCGGCGACGGCGCCGGAGGCTCGCCGGAGAAGACGACGGAATATTCCGTCAAGTCTGACGAAATATTCCTGATGCCGTTGACAGAATCTGTTAAATCTGACGGAATATTCCCTTACGGCGTCAGTTGACGCCGTCAGCATGCCAGGCACGTGCCTGCGTGTAGCCGGCGCGTGGGGGCGCGTGCGACGGTGAAAAAATATTTTAAAAATATGGGGATGTTCCTGAGGTTGAGTAGATCACGTTGGTGTATTCATACACCCCATTTGAGCATTGTATGAGAAGTTATTGCTAAAGGTTGGTTATGTGCTTTAAAATTAACGTTTTTGTAGTTGTTTCGCATATAGGTGATACCTATCCCGAGGACGAGCGTGGTCACTCGAGGCAGGGGGGTTACGACCCTTCCACATACTAGTGAGTGGGCTTTTGGTTTTCCTTATATACGTATATACTTACATTTTCCCAGAAATTGATTTAAATGTGTATTAGTTATATGCCATTTTTATATTGCCGGTCGTTATGCATGATTAGTTGCATTTCTATACATATGTATGTATTGGTGCTGTGGACGCACAGGTAAGTGCCAGGTAAGTGCAATTCATGTTTACATTCAGTAGTAGTTTAAGATACATAGAGAGCTCATAACCTGCACCCCCGGTGTTAGTGCTCCCGCCCAGAGTAGGGCACAGTCCTTCACGTGATGTTCACCTCCCGCACCACACGCTTAGCTTGGATCCAAGTTAGGTGCACAGTCCTGTCGTACAGACCACTTTAGGTGGTTCCGACTCGTAGGTGACCCGCGATTTCTCGCCCAGCCTTCACGTGATTGTAGCACTAGAGCGTTTATATGTATTACACCCAGGCCTGTCGTACAGACCACTTTAGGTGGTTCCGACTCGTGTGCAGGTCTAGTTAATGAGATTGAGATTTGAGCTCTAGATGCAGCCATACAGGTCACGTTAGGTGACTCCGGCTGCCAGATTATATGTTATTGATATGATTTATACCTGAGCACTTGCATTCCATTCTGAGGTTCTGGCATGGCATATTTTTGAGCATGATTTGTATATGTATATATATGTCTATTTTCTGGGAAGTATACAGGTTTTACGGCGAGGGGTTAGAACGTATTTATTATATGGTTTTCAAAAGCTTTGTTTTTACCCACTCACGCTTTTGTTTTGTGCCCCTCCAGGTTCTAGTTGACTAGCAGGTTTGGTGGTTTCCCAGAGGACCTTCCCGGCATTTCTGACAGACGATCACCAGCGTAGGGCCACCTTCGGGTGTACTTTGGTTGCGTCATTTTCATTTGGATTGCTTTAGGCTTTATGCTCTGAACTAGGCGTCGCACTTACGTTGCACTTATTATTACTTGATGTAAAACCAGTTTTTATTTATTCGTACTATTTACATTACTATTTTATTAGCTTCTGCACTGTACACATGGTTACGTCACTTCCACGTGACGGCCAGCATGCCCTGATCTCGATCGGGGTGTGTCAACGTGTCATTATCTGAAAATACAATTATTGGTGATGGATTTCTGATAAGATTATTAACCAATCACGGTGCGCCACGTGTCATAATCTGTTCACAATCTTTGAGGATAGATTTCCATCAGATTTTTAACGAATGACGGCATGCCACGTGTCATAATCTATTCACAATCTTTGACGATAGATTTCCATCAGATTTGTAACGAATGACGGCATGCCACGTGGCATTATGTACAACCTAATCCTTTCTGAATCCTCTATATAATCCACCATCCATCCTCACAAATCTCACACCAATTTTCTCAAGATCTCTATCATTATTCATAGTTTCTGCTTCCTTATTCACAAAAATCTGTATCATTATTCATAGTTTATGTTTCTTTCTTACAATGTCTTCTTCTTCTTCCTCAAGGATGATGTGGGAATTCAATCAGGAAGAGGAAGAATTGTTTAACGAATCAGAAGCAATGTTCAATCACCAAGGGGCAAGAAATGAGAGGGAAGAGGATGAGGAGCGTCAAAGAAGAGATGACGAAGTAAGAATGGGCAGAGCCTCACATTCCCGTCGAGTTGTCCAAGGTATGGCTCAGATCTGCAGGTCCAGCCATTCTGGAAACCTTGATAGAAGCAGGCAACGACGAGGTATGGAACTCTTGGATGATTATTTTGTTCCTAATAGTGCATTCCCTGATACGTACTTTAGACGTCGTTTTAGAATGGAACGACATTTGTTCAACAAAATCATGATTGCTGTTTGCAACCATGATTTTTATTTCGTGCAAAAGAAAGATGCTTTTGGTGCTATGGGTTTACTGCCTGAGCAAAAAATTACTGCTGCCTTGCGGATGCTTGCATATGGAGCATCTGCAGACCAAGTGGATGAGATAACGAGGATGGGGAAATCAACCATTCTTGAGTCCCTGATGAGGTTTTGCGGAGCAATCGAATCTATCTACACCGCTGAGTACCTCCGCAAACCTACAAACATGGACTTGGAACGGCTGTTGAAGAAGGCGGAGATGCGTGGCTTTCCTGGGATGATTGGAAGCATTGATTGTATGCACTGGACGTGGAAAAACTGTCCAAGTGCATGGCAAGGCGCTTACGGGGACAGAAAATGAGCAAAAAGTATCATTATGGAGGCGGTGGCATCTTTTGATACATGGATTTGGCACGCCTTTTTCGGGGTCCTGGGAGCTCAAAATGACAACAACGTCCTTGCCCAATCCCCAGTGTTCAACGATGTCCTGCAAGGAAAGGCACCAAAAGTGACGTATGAGGTCAACGGACGTATGTACGACGGGCCATACTGCCTAGCTGACGGCATTTACCCGCGATGGTTAACATTTGTCAAAACAGTGCCACGTCCGGGGAGTGCAAAGGAAAAACACTTTGCAAGCTGTC